AGCTGGTCTTTAGCAGCTACACAGAGAGATAGCCGGCCCGTACTTTCGAAAGCATCTGGTTTTCTGCAACCCGAACAGGAAACTTCCTCTGGCATACGGGGAGGGCACGGAGAGGAGGCACGGATCGCGACCGCGTGACGGCGAACCAGTGCAAACAAACCCGGGGGGCTCTTAACCGGAGAGACCGGAGAGGCAAAAACGAAAGATAAACAGAGAGAGAAAGAAAGAGAGCAAGAGAGAGAGAGAGAGAGGGAGAGAGAAGACACAGAGATAGAGGGAAAAAGAGATGGATAAAGGAATCAACAGAGTGTGTGTGTCCCCAGGGAGGGGAGCGAGCGCGAATCTCGGGGAAAAGATAGAAAAAGGATGGATCCACGATGGGACAAGATCGAGAAAGAGAGAAACGAAGAGGGAAAACAAGAGGGAGGAATTACAACGTGGAACGGAATCGTTACTTTACCTGTGCGAGCAACAAAGTACACCCACTTATATGTGTGCGTATGTACACGCGTACTGCGAAACTGTGTGTCCGTGCGCGCCTCTGATCCTGTGTTTTATATTGAATGATCAAAGGTAAACCGGTTGTGCTCGCGAAGGAGAGAAGTCGAATCGACGAGGAGAGTGAGCAAGACATGCCAAGCGAAAAGAGACAGAGTGAGAGATAGAGGGTGAGAGGAGGATCGACGGGGGAGAGAGAAACCGGTGAGAGAAGGAGGAGTACGGAGGTGAGAGAGGTGAGTAACAAAATGATCTAGGCGCGGCAAACAACAAACTGTGTGTGTGTATACGGCAACTAACACCTGCCCGTTACCAGGCTGCTGGTATCGCGTGTACACAAGTATGTCCCAATGCCTCTCTTGCGTTCTCTACACCGGCTTGAAACGTGTCTTGTTTATTATCCATCGATGTCGGTTATGGCAGTCTCTCCTCGGGTGTTACCTGGCCCCCGGAATGTGTATATCGCGGCCAGGATAACACAAGGATTACAAGGTGGACACGCGCGCCCGTCCCCCCGTTCTTCGGCTTCAATCACGAAGACAGATCCGCGGCGATGGCTGGACGATTACCCATAAACCCCACATACCGCAGAAATACTTCATTTTCGGTTATGGTCGGTGGTTGACATTGCTGCTCGAAAGGAAAGGAAGATAGTAGAGGGGGAAGCCCTGGTTCCCTAGTGCTTTGGTCCTACCGAAATGAGACATCAGGTCGAAACTGGGCTAGATCGAGTGCCTGGCTCGTTAGGGCCTCTGCCCCCGTCACTCGCTCCTTGGAACTTCTTTTCCGTTCTCCCTTTTTCTAGATCCTTTTCGGAGAAGAGTCGCTTTGGAACGACCGAATTGTATTTCTGTCGCTGTAAGTAATTATGTCGCGTGATCTGTCAGTTTATTAATTTGAACAGAAAATGATCATTTTTGGTTTTGTAGTTCTTTTACAGGTGTTTGTTTCACCGTGATATACTTGTTCACGTGAAAGTCAACTTAATTTAACAGTTTGCAGAGCTAAATAATTGAGAATGATCATTTTCTGACTTTTGGAGAAAGTTATCCCTGAATGACAAGGGAAGGTTCCAAACCCGAAAATTCTGATTTTAATGAAACTTCGCATGAATGTAGAGCAAATTGAACAATGCTTGGAGCACTTTTTTTTCGTGCCCGTTTTACCACTGAAGGGGTAAAATCAACCCTTAAAGTTTTTGCGTCTATTCTATCGTGTGACATTAAATCAATATAAATCAGTATAATTCAACTCTTGTTGAATTTCCTAAGAACCCAAGACCTGAGAACATGACGGATTGTACTTTGTAAATAGCGCTTGAGTGAATATGTTGATTTAATCTTGAAGAATTCAATTCGTATGTAGATTCTTTTTTATTTGCTTGGCCAGTGCACGCCTGTATTCTGAGTGGATATGTAAATTTATAACATCGAGTCACACACGTGATGACGATTTCAAACTGCATTTAATAAACATTCACGCAATTCGTTTTCTTTAAGTCAAAGTGAAATACTGTCTCGCTGATATTAACATTTAAGATTTAGAGTAAATGTTACACTTGACATAAGAATAGAATTCTTTTTGTATCTGGGAAATTATTAACGATAATGTAATTCTTGAGAGTGCAGTCGTCAAACAAATGGTAGGGCAAGGGGTTAATTAAATAAATCGTAACAGGTGATCCACACGATGTCCCCAAGATCCACCCATGTTGCGCATCAGTTAATCCCCAACCCCCTCGAACAGGTCCACCGGATCCTCGGGTTATAAAGATCATTGATACATCTCGAAGCTTTCATAGTGTCCGAGATACACCCGAAAACACGTGTCCGCCACGAATATTAGTCTCTTGATCTCTCTCCGTTGGCCCCAGCTGGTTTTTCGTACGTTATCCTCCGACGAGAGATTTAATCGGCCAAGGCTACCACGTTCCCAGGCCCTGGCTTTTGGACCAACGTCCTTTCAGACGGAAACGAAAAATCATCAATGATCTAAAAGCTGATCGTTGGTTCCCGGGGGTACCGGTTAACAGGTGTATCTTATCTCCGGAGGATCGGAATCGCGGTTGATCTTTCCTTCTCGTACACACACCGTCTCGTGACGATTCTCATCTATGATTCGGTGACAGAATCGGATTCAGGGGCGTCGTCTTTATCTCATCATCTAGGTCTCCGGCTCGTCCATGTGTGTGTATCCGTCTCTCTGTCTCTCTGTTTCTCTTCTTTCCTCCGCGAACGGAAATCCCACGCACATCTCGCCAGTATAGGAAGACAAGACGACGCCAGAGGCTTGGCCTTTCGTCGATGATGTGGTTCGTGGTTGGTAGGAAGAACTTCGAGACAACGCACGAGAGAACTTCCAACCGCGAGAAAAACCCTGTTACAGTGGACTCTAATTATATTGCGATGGTCGGGGCTGTAGGGGAGTAAAATGGCAATGAGTTCAGATCCCCCTCCATGCTAAGTTCTATCGTCATAGCCTTGGTCTGCGCAAAAGCTGGATCGTGGAAGAGCGAATTTCTGTGCTCGAAAGTACGTGTGAAGGAGAAGTGTCTCGCGTGGCAATATGTTTAGTGGCAATATATAGTGAGAGTTCACTGTACTATAAGAAGAAACGGGGAAGGTGCGATACGAGCCAGTTGGTAGTAAAAGGGACCTGTAGGGTCATTCCACGCGAAATCGGACACTTTTTGGACTAACATTTCGGATATGTTGTAGTCTTGAGTGATATACAGGCTGTCTCACCTGATTTTGACATCCCCTTTTTCTCAATATTCTTACTCGTAACGACAAATGTTTGCGAAGAAAGTTGAATGGTGTCAAGGGGAGCATATACCGGTGTTATTAATTTGTTCATGAGTGGACGTGTAAAAGTCATATGAAGATCAACTTCGTTATTTTTTTAAAAAGTGAATTTAATACATTCTGGGATCTGGGATCCAGATATGTATAAGAACGTTTTTAGTTGTTTTCGTATTTGGATACCACCCTGTGAAAATTTCCCACATTTTTTTTTATTAACATTATGCACAGTGAAGCCGCTGTGCACGTCAATATCCATCACTAGCACCAAGCCATTCGCTAGGCGATTCGCTGCGTGTACGCCTCGAAGACACACGATCCACGAACGAGCTATAGATTTTTCAGGATGGTAGTGAGAGCATGAAACAGGTGTACACTCGAGAAAGCCTACACACGTATACACGGCCCGATGGTGGCTGCCTTCTCGCCGAGCCAGGTGTACAAGAAACGGTTGGAATTCACCGCGTCGAACTTCTGACCCCGAAGCGTTTATTAGCCACGATCCATTGCTCAATACGAGCCGCGTGGTCCCGTCCACGTTGCTTTGATCGCCCCTCTCCGCGCAAGCGTGTGGATCTTAAGGGGGGAGCCTGGTGTAAACAGGCTAAAAATGAATGAATTTTTGGGAATTTCTTGCGAAGAATCTATTAAACCAATCTCTTTGAAACTTTAAGAATACTTTATTGTACAATTAAATTGAATACAAAAATATTTATTTTCACGACAAATCCGAAACTATTATAGTTACAACTACTAATGTGCAACCCATGAGCAAAAAAAGGTGTTCTGCGTCGGGGATAGTACCTCAAAAAATATTCAACCAACTGATCCAGCATTGCATGTACATATTCTTTAACATCTCATTCGCAGCATGAACCTAGATTTATAATTTTAGGGCTTCAATAAATCATATTCTTTAGCATTTTTTTACTTGCAAAATGTTGCCTTTTTTTTAAATGTCACCATTTCTTCAATTTTGAATTTTTTAACTTCAAAATAGGTTCATGCTGTGAAGATGTTAAAGAATATGTACATGCAAGACTGGGATAGTTGGTTGAATATTCTTTTAGTTATATACTCCGACGTGAAATACTTTTTTTCCTCACGGGCTGCACATAAGTCCTTATAACTATAATATTTATGAATTTGTCGTGAAAATAAATTTTTTTCTACTGATTTAAATTGTACACTAAAGTAGTATCTAACTTTCAAAGAGATTGGTTTAATACTTTCTTCACAATAAATTCCCAAATATTCGTTCATTTTTAACCCGTTTACACCAGGCTCCCCCCTTAAGAGGATATTCCCAATTGGAGGCGTCATTTTTAAACGATTTTTAAAACTAAGAATTAATAGTGCAAGGAAATTGTAGCTTTTCGTACATGTTCGTTCACATTTCAAGAAAGCACAGATTATTTTTGTGCAATTACCTTTTACATTAACAACGTTATTACACGTTTTTTAAACAATGTTTAATATACATATGTAGTTCTTAAACTACCTTAAAGGAACAATAAATGTCAAGAATGTGTCTACGAATTGCTCTACCAAAGAAATTCCAAATTTGTATAAAGATTCACAATTTATGTCTATTCACAGTTTACATCTGCAACTAATCTCTGTTCAACCAACAGTCCGACGTTCTAATCATAACGAAAGGAGAAAGTATAGAAAATATATAATGAAAAATTTGTTACTCACCAGAACGATCTGCTGGATGCACCGAAAGATACAGTCCTTTGTTTCCATCGGGGTTGTTCACCCAATGTTGAAGAGGTTCGCTGACGTTTAAAGTCAGCCAGCCCTCTTTTCCAGTGGTCGTGTTCACTGCGTCCACGTACTGCAACTCCCTCGTTCTGTGACGTGAAAAACAAGTCTGCATATTACAATGGATTTATGCGAAAGCAATATCTCGAATAATCGTTACCCAGATAGCACACGGACGACTTAATGACGGCTTAAAGGCGTCTCAGACCTAAAATAGCCGTAAAATGGACGTCTTCAAGACGTCATGTGCTATCTGGGATGTAATTTTTAATTATTAAAAATTTACGAAAACCACTTTAAAGGTATGGAAATTGTACAAGACAAAGAGATCGAAATTTTTAATGTAAAACCGATACCGTACCTACGCTGTAGCCGTGATTAACATTACTTCACTTAACATAACATCCTCGTTAACAATAAGTTGCAAGCATTGCAACGCATTAGCCGCTAAAAGCCACTTATGACGCCTGCTCTGTGTCACTAATATCACTGCAATTTTCCGTGCATACATTAAGAAAAACTCGCGCCAGTCGTTACGTTAACACGCAGCTATGTGGATAAGGTATTAAACGGACGATTGGACCGTGAACAGTGTTGACGATGATCAAAACAAACACGTTTCTCATAAAACAATATTCATCGTGACTGCTACAATTTTAAAGGTTGTATATTTATTCAAACAAACGAAAGGAAAAGTCGAGAGTCTGCTGCTTGATCGTTTAGGATAAGATCCCTGTGATCCTCTCACGAAGAGGAACAAAAAATATGGTCGAATGAGTATTGCTAACCAACTCTAGCGGTTGATAGGATTATGAATAACAAACAATATTGTTATTCTTTCAACTCAAATTTCTTAAATTTGAGAATACACTTATTTATTTGTTTTTCTTCATATATGTATGTATTTTTCGTAATGGAAACTCGTCCACAAAAAGTGCAAAGACTTATAGAATCATCTGGTATTTTCCTTGAACTGTTAATTCAAATACGTACGCTTAAAACATGCGGTAATTTTCACGTTAATGCCGATCTGCATGCAAACGATGTGCATAATATTAAATGAAAACTCTACATGAGCATTTTATAAGCTTGCGATAAAAACAGAGGATCAGTATTCGACGGTAATTCCATGCTTACAGATATTAACCATTTAACTCTTAACCAGAGAGGTGGAGTCGAAGGAACTTTATAATATTTTACTGCCAGTAGAATGGCAGTAGAATTTTAATAATCGGTTATTAACTTTTTACGTTATGATAGGCACCGTTTGTATACAGTGCAATTTCAATGCAGGAATATTGAAACAAAATATTTTTTATTTACCTGAATGTATAATAAATAAAGGCAAAGAAGTTTATTTGCTAGCAGACAAAAAAGTTATCACTTCTTCGATTTATTTCATTTTTATTATTTTTTTAACGTCAACTTAACACTTTAGTATGTGTGTATGTATATACATATATATTTTGATAGAGAATTAAAAGCTGTATAAAACCCAGTATATTAAGGTTTTAAGTTGGTGTTAAAAAACTAGAAATATTTTAAAAAATAGAAAAGTGGATAACCTCTCTTTATCCGCCACTGTATATCGTTCCCGCGATAGGTATCGTTCGATGGAACTTGTAGTCGCGCAACTCATCGATATAATCGATCGATAGACGATAGGAAACCGCTGAACGTTACGTAACCTAGCCGCGATACCTACACAACGATCGGAGCTCTTGCGCGGTATATTTCCCCGCGATTCCGTAGATTGTAGTGTTGTGACTCGACGATTCCCGCGAATCCGTCGGCACGTGACTAGCGTCAATAAGATTTCAGCGAGAAACACACTAATCATTGTTCATTGAAGAGGCATCCACTCGCAAAGACGCCTGTCTCAAACGACGCATTTATCTTGGTTTGCCCCCGCGGGAACAGATTACCGTTCCTGTGATCGGACAATCGGGACAGTTGATAATTGAAGACCTCGGGAGAAACAGATGATAAGTCCAATTTTGTTATTCTTCTTTTTTTTATATCGTTTGGTGGCTGGAAGGGTTTTACCCAGAAATTTTTATATTATACATTAGACTACCAATTTCTTTATATAAAATGTCCTCAAAAGCGATATACTGAAGTATCTCATTCTGCACATGCGCAGAAGCAATGTGATACATTTAAATACATTCTTCATAATACAGTTATTCTAACCTGTAATTCTAGTTTTTCTGACTTAACCTCACATACTTCTATATTCTATGTATACTACAAGACTGCTTAACTTGTATAAAATATCCTCGAAAAGCATATATTAAACTAAAGTATCCATAAAAAGAAATATATAAACAGAAACCATTGATATATCTATCACATTGCTTCTGTGTATCTGCAGAATACGATATTTCAGTACATGCTTTTCGGGGACATTTCATATAAGCGAAGTTTGGAGAGTTAGCAGTCTAGTATAAGTATATTTAATATAGAACTCTGTGGTTTTACCATCACTTTAATATTGCTAGACCGCGGATTCTATGCATTTATGGCATATATGATTGTCTAAAACTGAAGGTACTTAAAAGTTTATTGAAACTTAATCAGGTTTTCATTTACTAAGAACTTAACAGAACCCTTAAGATAAACAAAAAAAAATTTATTTTTATTTTTCAGCTGTATTTATTTAAATTATATTTATGAACATTAGCGACAGTCAATTGATAGGATATGTTTTTTTTGTTGGGTACTTTCCAAGTGAATATTAATTTACGATAATGTTTGTTATATTTTTTGGAATCATGCTTAAATGAAAGAAAAATTAAACGAACACATATGTGCCAATATCCCTCAAAAGATAATCATTATTCCACTGTATCCAAAATTACATAAAAAATGCTACAATAAAGTCGTCTAGATCAGTATCACGCTCTAGAAAGAGGTAATTATTATTCCACCGTATCTAAAATTAAATCCAATATCTCTCAAAAGAATAAAATTATTTTCCTACAAAAAGCGGATATATGTCAGTTATCAGGTTTTTCGCCTGTGATCTTCAACAATTGTAAACAAGAGAGATAAATCTCCTAACGCGTTGAATTCCACGCTGGAAATTGTGCGCACTATTCGCTAATGAACGTGTTAGATTTTTGTTTTTTTTTCCCTAACATTCTTCTTCTTTGAATCATACCGATTACCTTCATATGAATGGTTGATGAAGCGTCTGTCGGCTTCAATTGATTTGTATTACGATGTATCGCGTGAGATCGCTGTGTCTGTGGATGGAAACGAAAACACTGTATTTTTAATAAAACTAACCTATATTCAATCAAACTATGCGCGATCAGAATTAATAGGTTTCTCCCAACGAGACACTAATTGAGTATTTCGTCTTCGTAAAAATTAGATTTTTCAGATATAACAAATTTTTAGGGGTTTCTTGATTAAGGCAAGACAGAACTCCAGTAGGTACGGAAGGTGTATATTCTGTTTGAGAATATGGTGGTGAATATTATGGATAAGAATACGAAAGATTTTGTAAGTTAGTTTAGCTGACTTTTCTATGATCCAAATGAAATTGTCCGTAGAAATTATTGAGTTATCCGAAGTTATTTCTTTGATACTCTATTGTTTATCTATACAGAATAATTAAACAATCACGAAAATAATACAGTAATGTCTGGATGAGTGCGACGTACTCGAGTCCGCTTCAGAGCATTCATGGCAAGGCGGAAAGGTTTCCAACCCCTTATAAATGTATTTTTTACTCAAAGCCAAGCCTCTGCTTATCTTCTGTTTACTCTGTTTTGATTGATTCTAGTGGGGAACCTCCCAGTGGTGGGTATAATTGTACATTAGTTAACCTTCATGAGGATAGAACGGAGAAGATCCTCAGAAGCTCTCTATTATATTTTTCATTATGAAATAATAAGAGTCTCAGAGGGTCTTCTATCCGGATGAAGGTTAAAGAAAATAGGAGAGTGAAATATTGTCCTGACTTAGGACTAGCACAACAATCAGTGTACATACCTATGTAGATCATGCTTAATTTACTAATTACAATTGTCTGTTACGACACATGTTACATTGTGTTACTATGACTGTCATCATAACTATTCGATTATTGGCATTATAATTTCATGTGGTACTATGTAGTAACATTAACTATTTAATTAACGCTAACTATTGGGTGTATTTCACCCTTTGAGGGCGGAGTACATAAAATTAAACAACTATCGTCAAATTGATAATTTTAAGCTGTCAAAGTATAATAATGTAGAATCTATCGAAAGAATAAGTCGAAAGGATACATTGGCCATTTTAATACCTTCTCAAGAATTCACGAGGTAGTTAAAGTCACATGGTTGTCATTCAAACATCAGAGTTGTAGCTGCTTTGAGTTATTACGCGTAATTTGAATTTCAAACCGCAGGTGTTACATCGTAACAAACAGAACATTATTTCTGCTGCAAATTGAATAGTATTAGCGAATAATGAATATTGATTAAACGTTAACAGTACCTACGTTGAACGTACAGCTTCAGTTAATAAACAGTTCCTCGCTGCAGATTTATGTTTACTGAAGTTGCAAATTAAGTTACGTAATTTCGAAATAATTTCGACTGATTAAAGTATTCAACAATGGATCAACTACATACATTTTAACTAGATTTAAAGCATAATGAACTAAATAAACTGAAATCATAATGAAGATAATAAGTAGAACCTTGAACTCTTGGAGGTCAGGAACGTCAGGGCCACATTTTGAATGTTGTTTTAAGTGGCCATTGTATCGAAAATTGCTATAAGAAATGTTTCAATATCATCTTTAAATTCAATTTAAACTGAAATTCAAATTCCAATGTCTAGGTCAACTTACTAAAATACGAATTTTAACATTGAATATGTTAATAATGTAAAGCAATACGTAGATTCTTGATTACATTTTTTTCTTCAATTTTGTATGTTAGTTGAATCCTGATGTTCGTAAAACTTATAATGAATTTTTAAATAATTCAACTCATCCAAAATAAATTCCGAAACTCTGCAATAAAACCGCCTAAATCAGAATCAACTGGATTGAACATTCCAGGAAAATACAATCATTATTCCACTATATCCAAAATTAAATTCAAAATGCTATTATAAAACCGTCTAGATCATTGTGAACCGGATCAAACGTTCAACGATATACGCGAAACAAAGATCACGCTGCACGGATCGCATCCACAGGGGCAGAGCACGGATACACCATCTTCCAGCTAACAAAGTGTATGTACATATATCGCTGTTGCGCGCAAAGCAGCACACAAGAAACGGCCTACCATCTAATAAACGCGAACGAGAAGAAAAATTCATGAATCCCTAATTGGGTCTAAAGCCAGAGACCCTGAGGCTCGTTACAGTTAAATGTCACTGTCTGACTTTCGTCAGTGCAGGAGAGGGGGTGGGTCGTTATCGAAAGCCGGCAGAGACAGCTGACGTCGCTCTGTGGTGTATATGTCCCTCTATCACTAGGAACGGTTGTTGGAAACGAACCAACTGACGCACACAGATACACATAAGAAACCGAGAGCGTCGCCAGCTTGTCTCGGCTGGACCAGAAGGTGGAGGAGGATAAGGAGGCGGAGGAGGATGCGTCACGCATCAAGTTTGACGGAAGAAGCCTAAGTAGAAGAAGAAGAAGAAGAAGAAGAAGAGGACGGACGGATGGAAAAGATGGAGGAGGGAAAAAGAGAAGGAGAAGAAGGAAGAGGAGGTGGAGCAGCAGCCTCTGCGTGCGTGTAACTGCGTAGGCACACACCAAGTATATAACTCTTAACTTGGAGCTCCGGAGCCCGTCTCCACCGCTAATTTACCTCAATTTACGGAATAGCGTTTCCTGTCGGGGCCTGTATATCGGTCAGGTCGCGGTACCAAAGTCTACGGTAGGTATCGCAGACAGGGATGGCTCTAGACACTCTGTCGCCATCCGCCACGTGGACGTGAAACGGCCAGCTCTCGTGTGGCTGTGACGATCGAAACGTGGACTCTTGGGTAGTGGTTCTTGGACATACAAGTTCTAACGACTGATTGTTTGCCGTATGATGACCACGGGGGAAAACATGACAGGATAAAGTTAGGTGATACACTCGCGTTGACAAAATGCTTCGATGTTGTTTTATTGATAATTCAATATAAGGATTGCTCAAGAGCGTTTTGAACTTCAATATTACTCGCCTGTAAACACGAAAAGAAGTGTGACTGAGAAATATATGTTTCTGTTCTTCATGAAGAATTCCCATTGAATTGAAACAAATTTATATTAATTTTAATTCAATAGAAGTCTTCATGAAGAACAAAAACATCTGCTTCACTCCGAGTTTCACAAATTAAGCTCTAAAAATGTGATTATATAAAACATTCACAGTCGACTAACATCGTTTAAGTCGTTCACAGTCTAAAATGGCTAACCACACTTTCTGGAATTTTGCAAATTTTTGTGCCGAAACACTTGGTTCGGGATTGATGCTTAACTTGGTGCTTAACTTTATATATAGGGTGTTAATTTTAACTCAAGCACCTAATTTACTTCCGCTACTACTGAAAGTAAGAAAAAATGACTAAATAGGATGTACATTGTTTAAGGCGTGCATCTGATGGTGATAAAATTTTGATACTTCTTATTGCATTTATTTACTTCTGCATTCTTCAAACTGAAGCTGATTTTTACTCCATCAAGGTCAATTCAAGGTCATGGTGTGTAGGTCGTTGAACTCATCTTGACGCTGACTACCACATCGCGTTATATAAAATACATGTTAATGTGTAAAAAAAATACATCCTATTTAATCATTTCTTCTTACTTTCAATAGTAGCGGAAATAATTTAGGTGCTCGAGTTAAAATTAACACCCTGTATATATTGTATATTTTACTGGAGCTAATCACTTCTTCAAATGAGCGGCTCCATTTATCGTGTTCCAAAGAAGTGATTCGACTAAAGTCCGCCAACTACGATGCACTAAAGGTCCATTTACACGTTCAAATAATTTGCGCACACTAACTTGTGCGTTACACGTTCGATTTATCTTTCGCAGTTATTTCTTATACCTACAAATAATAAACTACAATCATAATTAGTTATTACAATTAAATAATACGAAAAGTAATGATAATTGTTTGCCAGGGGGTGTTAGCTTCCATTTAAACGGATTTGCTTGTGCAAAATGTAATTGTACTAGTCAGTTTGCGCGAATTATTTGAACATTCAAGCTTCCGTTTGTACGCAACGATTTCATCTTTATATTCTTTTTAAAAAATTCCTAAATATCACCTTTTTTTTGGGCCGCTAAAGGGGAATGGGGGCTTAACCTAAACACCATCGTACGCCAAATTCCCCCCCCCCCCCTCGACTCGATTTTCCCAAATATTTGTACCGAACGGTCAGAAATCCGTTGCCGAAAGGCGTTCACGACAATACCAGCGATACAACGACGGGATAAGGGAACGGGATTTAACTAATTTGTATCGTATTAACGAGCCCGGGGGCTTGGCGATAAAAATCAAATCGGAATACGTCGGTAATGCTTCGGCGCTTCTAGAAAGCAGAGATAGAAAGAGAAAGAGGGAGAGACAGACTTGTTATTCGTGGAGAACCCGGTGGACGGCCCTGGGACACATGAATGAGAAAGGTAGAATCAGAAAAAAGAAATGGTGGAAGCTCCCACCGTGCCCCTTGAGGCTCCTCTCTCATCCAGGTAGAACAAATACCTGGAATTTTTTCGGCGACTTAAGGACGGCCTAATTAGGGGCACGATGACGATGTCAAAAACCACGGACTCTCCTTGCTCAGAGGAGAGGACCGAAATTGGTCTAGCCACCCACCCCGGTGGGCCCCCAGGGCGTCCCTCTTCCCTTCCCCCCTCCACCTGGAAATAGTCAAAGATGAAGTTGGGAACACCGAGGTACCGTTTTTCCACGGATGCTCTCGAGAGGGCCCCGATGCGCGGTGGTCGTAACTACCTCGGTTGCCGCGGAGAGCAGTTAAGAGGGTACATAGGTATTTCGAGTTCAAGAAGTCGAAATTTTTTTCGTTGGTTATTAAAGCTTCCATGTCTTCAGAATATTTGGAAAAAAAATTTCATTGAAAAATTCGCAAAATTGTGGAAGTTACAGCGTAAGAACAGACGGCGGGACCAATGCAGGTACACATATGTATATCCAAATCTTGGCCAAGCCGTTTTTCTCGAAACTATGTTTCTCAAGACGGTGAACATCGTAACTCGAGAACGGATCGATAGTTTTAGTTGAAATTGGAACTGAACCTACAAAACACCTTCCTTTACACAGTGGAACTCGCTGTTAGTGTTCTTATTTTAAAATATATGTTACATCCTTATTAAAGAATTGTTGAAGAAGCAAACGGTTTGAGTTATTACTCGCTCCACAATCTAACTCAAAAGAATCCGTTCATTTTAGCTGTCTAATAAGTATGTACCCCCTTAAAGGTCATCAAACTATGAAACAGGGATTGGATGACACTGTTAAAATTTCCAGTTAACTATGACATAACAGTGGTTTATTTACTATTATTATTTTTGTTCCAAAAAAAAAAAAAAATAGTTATTAGATGAAGTGTATTTAATGAAACTTTTATTTTACAAAGTTGATCTACACATGACCCCTACGCGTCCATATAGAAAAAAGTTACATGACAAAGTGTGCCCCCTGATACCATTTAACTTCTGTCTGGAACCTTTTTTAATATCGTCAACAGTTTCGGAGATATTAGAGTAGGTCGATTTAAATAGGACACCCACATCAGACTTTGAATGATAAATAAAATTAAAAAATTAAAAACTTTTATGTACACACGAATACCAAAAATATATTCTCCATCGATCAGTTTCTGTTGGAAAAGATGCGTTTTTAACATTCTGCCAACTTTTCTGGGTTTCCGAACCACTTGTGCACCCTTGCTCGACGAAATGGCAGGCACTCTCGAGCTGACTGCCAGGTAGGGCCCCCGATACCTGGCGGAGAGACTTTTCCGGGAACCAAGAAGACCGTCTAATTGCTGACATGACAATGACATTAAGGGAGAAAAATCATTGCTGGCTTGTGAGAAGAGAGAGAGAGAGAGAGAGAGAGAGAGAGAGAGAGAGAGAGAGAGAGAAAAATTTGTTCCGCTTTTAAGGAATTCTTCGGTGAAGCAGTTCTCGAGATAGAGTATAACGGGAAACGCGATCCGCCGATAGAGACGAGCGAGTTGAATGCTTACGTCTCTAAGGTACACTTGTTCAGACATTGAGATCGAACTGTTATGTTGTTGGAATTTTTTCAACGGTGCGTTTTCGAAACAATTGTTTCGCAAGAATTAACACTACAACTACCAACATTACATGTATGCTAAGATAAATTGTCTGATTTATTAATATGTGTAATATATAATACAATATATCATAGTATAGGATAATATAAAGTATATAAGGAATTAAACGTTAACGTAAACTCCGATGAAAGTATCGTTAGGATTTCGATAATTGTAAAATAAAAAATCTGAAATCCATTGTTTTGACGGGTTCGGTAATTCTAGTGTTAAGGCCCCTTTCTTCTTTAGCGGTCGAAATAAAATTGTGATACTTAAGTAATTTTTCGTAAAGTAGGCAAAGATATGGTGGAATAAAAAGTTCTCTAGTCTTTATTTATTATACATTGAGGTGGATAAAAAAAATTATCTAGAAATTTGATATCATTGGCTGGCTCAAAATGCACATGTCGCTAATGTTTTGAAAACGTTTTAATGTCAGTTACAAGAATATCTAACAAAAACCATAGATTACTATTACTTAATTTAGAATCTAACATTTCGCATAGATGCTCTATTGTATTGAGATCTGGTGACTGTGGAATCACGTTTCCAGATGAATCACACACACACTCTGTAACATGTACAATCGCGAGCGAGTGAATTTTGATCGGACAACTCACCCGTCTTCGGTTCTCAGGACACGGTACGCGGTGATCATGTACGATCCACGGTTTCTTCGGCTCTTTGCGTCCATGCTTCGATAAAGCCTCAGCTCCGCGCCGATTATCTGCTCCCCGGCCGGTACCTCCGAGACATCGAACCAGAGCCGTTTGCCGCGTTCGTGCCTCACGCCGGGAACATGATGATCTGAAAAGATCGAGAAACAAAAAAAAACGGTCTCATTAAGGCTCGAGGGGTAGGTGGATTGGCCTATTTACCTGGAGTACAGTAAATCCTCGATGAGTGCTCGAAGGCTCCTCGGCACTGTACGTTAAATATTTCAGAATCCCAAGCTCTATCACTGCATTAAACTTCATTAAAAAATCAGCGTTACACCTGAGGATCTCTCCTTATCAGTGCTGAGGAGCCTTCGAACACTCATCGAGTATTTACTGGAAATCGTTGGCTACTCGTTGTCGTTCCAGTCACGGTTACTGTGTACAGGGTGTACTAAACACTTTTCCAAAACTTCAAACACCAATTCGTCGCTCTAGTTCTTAATTGTTCTATCTCCATCAGTTTCTAAACTGAGAAAACTGAGTTTAAAGTTTACGAAGTTTAATATTATAGGAGCAGAAAAGTATAGAAGTAATCAAACACATTATAATATTATCCACTGAATAGATATTCATTACAAAATGTAATCAAATTTCATTTTGTTATCAATATAAATTTTTAATTGTGCGAAATCTGTTAATTTTTTACATGTTTTGCGTTATTTCGACTTCTATTGAGAATAATATGGACCACTTTTGAGAAAAGAATTGAATAATGAACTGAAACGTGGTGTCGATAGTTGTATGTTTAAACATAGAAAACATCAATGCAATTGACTTTCTATCATTTTTTCAGAGAAAGGAAATTATGTAGGTAAGGACGCTAACGGTTTGGGTCGATTCATTTGTTGTTTTTTCTTAAACTAAAGAACGAAATTATTTGCAATGTCTGTTGAAATTACAATTCGACGAAAGATAGAGAATACGTGGTCAGTCGAAGAGGTAAAACCTACAAAATCCCTGTAAGCCGAGTAACCTGTTCATTTACGATAAGTTTTAGGCCAGTGCCCCCGACCATTACCTGTTCCCTTCTACCTAGACATTGTCTGAATACCTTGAAAGTCATACCTTTTCCGATCTATTGATTCTGTTTTCACTTTTCTGTCTTAAATGAGAGCTACAGTTAATCAGTTACATATAGTTCGTAAAATAACAATGAATTGAAACTGGTAAACAAAGTAGTCATTTCCAATTTTACAGAAATCTTTCATTGTAAATTATGTTATGTGTACCAATAAGTAAACAATTATTCCTTGATAAGATGTTAATATAGTTTAAATTCAATGTATCTTTCCTAGTAGTGTTGGAATATAATGATAAATATTATTAAGGTATTATGCATTCTTTTTATTTTCGTGGAAAGAAATATTAAATTTGGAAAAAGTAAAAGATTTATTTTATCCATACACCTACTAATAATATTTTTTGTAAGTGGAGTTGCGTATATTAACAAATTTTAAATATACCAGAAATTATTTACAACACAGGTTCACAGTTTAACACTAGAAGTGCCAGTATTGAATGTATAATAAATTAAATGGTATATGTAATACAATACTATACAAAATATATAAGACAATCTAGCATAATATGCCATAAAATAAAATCTGTAAAAAATTAAAAGCCAACATAAATTCGTCGAAAGCACCATCATAGTTCTAGTAATGGAAAAATAATAAATCTATAATCCGTCATTTTGACGGATTTGGTAATTCCAGTGTTAAGAAAATATAATGCAATGATTCGTTACTACGTATTTTATTATAGGTATCTGTATGCCACTATATTTGTCTTATGTTCCCTCTTTTATACATAATAATCCACTATATTTTACCAAACTTAATTTCGAGTTTTCAAGGAATCAGAAGCCTGTGTGCCATTATTAATTATCTAATGTCATTTTTACGAAAAGAAAAGGGCTGAAATATGTTCTGACTTCACATTCCTGATACATCTAATAGTACAACAAAACCGTAATAAAGAACACAAAACAAAGCAGCCCCAAATTCAATTGCGGATCGCTCCATCAATTCCCACTAAACTGGCCATCCAACTGTCAATATGGCGGTCAACGTTCGACCCGGCATCCCACGAACTCCTCTATGTCCCCCTCAACCCTTACCAACATACACCGTTAATTCCATCGTTCACGGTGGAAGTCCCGGTAAATCAATTTTCTCCCGCCCCGAAACAACGAAGTCGCTTCTCTCTCCCCCCCGCCCTACTCATTCCATTCGAGCCCTCTACCCGAAAACGCCATCCACCGTTAGAGGGAGCAACCGAGGGGAGCCAAAGGAGGGTGGGGGGCGGGGGCAAAAACCATGGTGTGGAGCAGCAGCATCATCACAGCCTCTGTGGCCGACACCGATAACCAGCTATCCTCCTCCCGTTCCGGGCACGAGATCGATAAGGGAATCGTTACCCGTCGTAAATGAGACGGGGGCCCCCGGTGGAACGAGCCGTGGACAATTCGCAGCGTGAAATCGTCCTTTTTTCTACCGCCAAAGGCCCGGCGGAGCGTCTTCGTGAAGCGAAAGTGGGAAGCCAGCAGCCAGTAGGGTATACCCTTCCGCCCCGGGGACCGAGTGGTGGGTCCCCTTAAGTAATGCCCTAATGCCTCTCTCTCTACCGAGGAGGGTCCGCCGACGTCACGGAGGTAGAAGTTGAAGGGTAGGGGGTGAGGGACTAGAATGAGGAGTAAAGCGAAAGAGCCCCGGCTGGACCCCTCGGCTCTCGGGGTGGTCCCGAATAGCTTGGGACCATCCTGGACCGCTCCACGACCGACTGGACTTTTGTTTTTTACCCCACCCAGCCTTCTACTTCTCTACGTTCTCGATCTTCCTCCTATGGTGTACCGATCTCTCTCTTTCTTTTTCTCTTTCTCTCTTCTACACCTACTAGGGGCTCTCCACTTACTCGTTCACTCTAACCCCCCTCCCCCTCCTATCCCGTGCGTAACGTGCACGCGAGAAACTCGACGAGAGAGAAAGAGAGAGAGAGTGTTGGACCGAACGAGCCGGCCTCCCCTTTTCTCGTAGAAACAGGGAGAGCGGAGGAGAGCGTGTTCTTGCGATATTTTCCTGGAAATATCCGTGAGCTGTTCCCTCACGGGGGCCCCCGGGAGACGAGGATCCGCCGTTTCACCCTGGGGCCCGATCGACGATCGTATCCCTCTCTCTCTCTCTCTCTTTATCTCTGTCTCTACTCGACAACATCCCGAGACCGTGACTCTGTTACCCGGATTATTGGTTCTAAGTAAAACACCGGGGCTAGATTCTTCTTTTTCGATGATTGGAACGTCGACCGTGGGAAAATTACCTTTCGCGGGGCCCCGCCACGTCTCGATGAGGGAGGGAGAGAGAGGACCGTGTTTCCGTTCCGACGCTCCGTCTGGGTGAGCGCGGGCCGCCATATTTGCGCTTCGACTACTTGGACGAACGGGCTCTCGGCCCGTTTCCAACGAGAGTCTCGTTCGCGATTCGACCTTTGCGCAGTGTAACGATCCCCGTACAAAATTAGAAAAAAAATGTTTTACTATGAAAGTTTTTTCCATGAATAGATATTAGTAACACTTCTGTCCGTTACGAAAATGTTAAAAAAGTGGACAGTTGCATGGAGACGAAAAACATGGTCGAAAATAGTTTCATATATATTTTCCTGTTTTATAGCTTGTGGTTAATTTGCGAGTAAAGTTCTTTTTTATACGGTCAATCAACACTATTATAGAAATAAAATGGATACGTTTTTTTTTATAGGATATTTCACGTGTTGAACAGTATACCATACGACTATGTAGTTAGTTTTACTATAAAATGTAGTTGTGTAATTAAAAACCGTGTTACACGGGTCTTATATCACGAGTAAACGTAAGAGCGACTTTCACACTTGTATCCATTCGAGACAATAGACTCCCACGACTTCCACCCTGAAAGAATAAGCTACCGAAGAGTTGCTCGCAGGTCTGGCTTCAGTAGAAAGAGAGAGAGAGAGAGAGAGAGAGAGAGAGCGTTCTACTCTCGAGGGTTGCCATAAAACTCTCTATAAAAGTCTCTAAACGATAATAAATCTGTCAAGCAGACACACAGCGTAACCAGTAAAACTAATACAATCTGGGATGTCCTGTATCAAAAAATAATGAAGTTGCATCGTTATATTTCAATTAACATTATTTAAAGATTGTAATAATAATGTTAGAAAGAAAATAATAAGTTCATCAGTATTTTTAGTATTTTTACATACAATACAACACTCTGCAATAGCGCCGAGAAAGCTACATAACGTGCGATTAAAGTTTCATCTGTGAAAAGCGACATTTCATAATGCATCGATCTAATAAAACCCCCCGGGCATGAGGCGGTCCCCGTTGGCGAACGAAAGAGCAACCGAAAACTGAACAGCCGTAACACGGATTGGGCCTAATCATTAGTCTAACTACTCGATGGAACGGGAAGGGGGGTGGGGATAGTGGAGCTCCGTTGCCTCGGAGCGTATTCGCCACTTTTATCCAAGCGCAGAACGAAACCGAGAGAAACGGTCCACCCGGCTCTTATTCCGGCACACAGTGGGCCAGAACGGCAATCTAGCTGAATTTCATTCGTGGGACACTATTGTGATACGTCTAATGGGGAAATACTTAAAACAAAAGTTGTAGTATAACCACCTAATTTTTTATAAAAATATCATTTTTTATAGTTAACTAAGAAATGATTAATCTTTCACTATCAACTACAGTTCCATAAGGCTCGTGTTAAAAAGAAATTTTTGTAACGTTTCTTTTTCAATAATTTTATCGTTGATCTTGTGATTTTTTTGGTAACAATCGAAAGCTGAAGCTTTTAAGAATGTTCCCTTAACTTTTCAACTAAATTTATAATTATTGAAAATTTACGGAAGCCACCTTAACACATTTCAACTGCTCGCGCTGTCTGTCGTAAAAAAAATATGGCGAAAAAATAAACGATTTTTCAAGTATGTCATTATTTGAATTAAATTTAGCTAGATTGCCATTCTGGCCCACTGTGGCGGTGCGGCGTGGTTCTCCTCTTGTAGTTCGTTGCCGCCGCAGGCCGCTGGTCCTCCCCCTTCCGCCCC